AGAGAGGGAGAGAGAGGGAGAGAGTGAGAGAGGGACAGACAGAGACAGAGACGGAGACAGAGTCAGAGACAGCGAGAGGGAGAGAGAGAGAGAGAAAGACACGATGTGTAGGACAGAGAAAGGAAGGAGAGATTGCCACTTTGCTTATGCCTATTTCCATCCACCTGCTTGCATAAAGTGTCCGCTCTATTGATGCGTTCACGTCTTGCCGTTTCGGCCCCAGACCTAGGACCTATCGGCCGTTTTACACCTGGCCTTAGTGCCCTAAACCCCTAAACCTTTAACCCTAGACGTTAAGCCCTGTCCGCCCTAAACAACTCCAATGCAGAGAAGCAGTCGGCCGAGCCACGTCTTCGGGAGATCGAGGTACCAGCCGGGCTGAACACCCGCGGCCTCACCGGCGACGTGCTCGACGAACATAAGCATTCATATACAAAAATATCCAAGTCATGTAGTACGATAAATACCATATCATGTTCTACCATGTACTAATAAAGACTATGATAGGGTATAGTCATAGTTTAACCAAAATCATCTGTTGTTCGGGATATGGGGGGTTTACAGTCTGCAACTTTCAGGGCTGGGTAAGATTTCTCCAAGCTGTTGAAGGGCTTGTCAACTTCCGGCCTGAACCCGAAACACCATAATGGAATGCCATGTTTGTTTGTATACGGTACTATAACAGAATATAACATAATAACATAGAACACTAAACTTTCAAGCACAGAATGAGTGAGTTGGCCTTTGCCGGTCCGGACTCCTCGCTCAGCTCGGCGATAGAAATAGGAGTCAACGGACATGTCCTGCGCCAGTTGACATGCTGCGGCAGGCATCTCATCTGTAGGAGTAGATGATAGATCATCCTGTAAATCCAGGTGCATCCAGTTAGTATTGAAAGAAGAAAGCCCGGCAAAGTACATCAGCAGCTGGAGATGTGCAGAATCCGGAAAAGCGCAGCCGTGACAACACCAGTCCCCGGCTACATCCAGGCCCTGGAAGTCCGCAAGAATGACATTGAACACCCGGTGAATCTCAAACCGGAAAGCCCCACGTTGAGACTGCAGAAAGAAGGCCGTCAAACACGTGATGAACACATCCGAAGATGATGGCTGATGTTTTTTGCTTCTGCTGCTCCGGGCCCTACAGTTTTCGGCATACTGTGCGCAGACTACGTTGGCATAGACTTGACTTCTGCACAAGTTGATACGGAAAATTGCGAAGGCTGCAGTCAAGGCTTGCATGACATTGGAATGGAGACCATCCTACCGCCAGTGCAACCTTCACGCAGCCCCGGTGATAGTTCCCAGAAGCCCCAAAAGCCTCCAAGAAGCCCCGGCCTGTCGAGCTTGAAAGCCAGCAGCTCATCGCCAATCTTGGCAGAGAAGCCCTGTTCATCGAACTTGGGGCCCTGCCACGTCGTTGAATTCAGACATCTCAACCAAAACATAAACCAATCAAGCCCTCTGGTCCAAGTACACTCATAGATGACGCACATGTATATGTAGTATCATATACGTATGCATGCACGTGTGAAGATGTGGGTAAACGGTTATATGCATAATTAGACATATGCATATGAAATATGTGTGTGTGTACATGTTTGTACAGATATTGCAATATAACGTCGTGATTGTGAACATGCAGTATACAGCTAGTACCAGCAGCAACCACACGGACAGCGACACTGCGTGTGTGCCGTGTCACTCACAACATGCACTTTCCCCGGAATGGCCCGGTGCACGGACAAGCGGGTTGTGGTCAAAGGTCATCCTCACTCCGGAGCAACAAAGAATCTTAAAGCAAAGATGCATGGTCTTGGTACAAGGGGCGAAGGAATCCGAAGGACTCTTTTAACTTGCGCGGCATCTGCGACGTCGGCGACGAGGGTGTGGACTTCGTGCTGTATGCAACTGGAAGCCGGTCGCGACCTTTGCCAGGGCTGGGTGGCTGAGACCTGGGTCGATCCGCTGGCGTCCCTGGACTCACCGATCTCTCGGTCTTCAAGGGTGCCAAGACACTTAAAAAAGCACCAGACCACTGCTGCAAGTTTTCATTGTCACCAACGTGGATTCCTACTTTCTTGCCACCGAGATCGACAATTAAGCCTCCGCTGATGGTCTCCAGACCACGTACTCTTGACATCAGGATGCGGCTGTCCTCCTTCATTCCGCAACTGGCACTGGAAGCGCTGCACCAACTGTCGAGCCTGTCCCTGAAGAGAATGCTGAGGCGGACCACCAAGCGCTGTTGATGCTGGAAGCCGAGAAGGCCCCAGTGGATCACTTTTTCTGGCAGCGCTTGCAGCCAATTCTGAAAGCGCTCGTCCTGAACCTCTGCAGCAAGTTCGCTACGTTCCATCTTCGACCTTTCACCACCCTTCAAGAAGGCACCATGCTTGTACAAGACTAAAAGCTCGTCCATGTTAGGGGGGCTATGGCCAGCGTCGTTCTGTGGGTGGAAGAGGAGCTGAAAAGCTGAGACCCAGAGTTCCATGTCCTCGCCAACAGGGATTTGAACATGCAGACTTTCCTGCCGAAGCTTGAAGATGAAAGCGCTCTCAGTGACCCGCACAGAGGTTACGTCGGTTGCATGTACGACTCCCGAAGAGCCAGATCCCCGAAGAGCCGAAACTGCATCATTGAAGTGCTCGAAGCGATCGCCATAGACAAGGACGTAGCGCATCTGCTCTGAGCCGTCCTCTTGTAGAAGTCTCAAAGGGCCCTGGTGCATTGGCTTTGCACTTGCACCTGGCTTGGGCAGTCGTACCGGTGAGTCCGTGGGTTCTCTGATGTTCACCCACTCTATCGTCTTGCCATTTACATGCTTGGTGAAGCTTGCCCCCAGAGCTTCTGAAAGGCTCGACTGCCACAGCTCGAAAGCGCGTCTACACCGCATCTCCAGGAGCCCGCTCGTGGCCTGGATCTCAAAGACTCCGTTGCTGGCCTTGACTGCCTGCATCTCGCGCAGCTGGACGGTGGTGTCCGGATCCGCATAGACGATGTCCTCCGAGTTTTCGAAGAAAGCCAGCCGATCGGCATAGAGCACCCCGTGTCTTCTGTCTCCACCGAGCTCAACGGGACCTGAAAACAAAGATCGATTTCTTGTAGCCCTGCTAGGGGAGCTCGGCTTTTCTTCCGGCTTCTCCACAGCCTGGCAGATCTCTTGCTGCGCAGGCCCTACGCCACGGAGAACGCCGCCTTCCTGGTACCTGTCACGTACTTTGGATGCAGCAGAGGCTGGGTCTGCCTCCGTGACACTGAGGGCCTTAAGCCACTCCTCCCATGTGATACCACCGTCAGTCGGGTCCAATGAGAGCATGAAGTACTCAATTTGAGCACCGGTGAGGCCGATTCCCAAGTCCTTCAGCGCTTTGGCCAAGTCCTCCGGCTTGACTTGCTGCGTATTCTGCCGCAGTGCCGTGTGAAGGTCGAGAGCGTTTTGGACCGTTTGTCCGTTCACCATGCAGGCTCTAAATGTAGTGTTCACCGTCTTCACGAAATTCAACAACTCTCTGGCAATCTGGGCGGTGCTGTCATCTGTGGAGACTGTCGCTTTTGGGTCTTCATCTTCTGCCGAAGAGGGTGTCTCTTCGAAAACATGCTCAAGTTCGCGGTGCCACTCCTCCATTGTCTTTCCCTGAGGGGAGAACAGCTCGAAAGTTTTTGATGGGTCTGCGAAACGCACAGTCAAGACATCCTCCTTGACCTCCAAGTCTTCGATCTCGTCCATCAAGGCACTCACATCTGGCGCCTCGTCTTCGGAAGGCACGCGGCCTCTGCCTTCGAAAAATTCCAGGCGATCCTCGCGCAGTACCAGCAGGCCAAAGGACGCTGCCTGACGGAGGCCTTCCTTTCGGAGGTTGAATCCGCCCGACGTTACTACTGGTGGCTTCGGCACCGGTAAAGGCTTCCCTGAAACTGGCAACGGCTCTTCAGGATCGGTTTCCCAGGCCGTCTGCCAACGATGGAGATCCTCCGTGTTGTGGGCTTTGAAAGACCACTTCTTCGCGCCCAGCTCCACTTCCATCGTCCCGTCCTCCAAGACCTCGAAGGAGGTGACGTCTTCGATCAGGGCACGCGCTCGTGCAGCAACGCCTGTTTGATAATCTTCCCTGCTGTTGAAATACTGGAAGCAGTCCGTGCGCAAAACACAATACCTTGGATCTTCTCTGTCACTTTTGAGAACGAGGAGTTCGCCTTCGCACAATAGCTTCGGCGCTTCACGTGGCATAGTTTCGCCACGGACGCTGGCACTTGCATGGCCCATGCCTGCTTCTGCACTCGACACAAAGTTGTCTCCCAAGCGCTGCGCAAGCAACTTCTCGAAAGCGCCCTGCCACTGCAGGAATTCCTGGGTGCTGTCTACCTGGAACTCCAGGGGCTTCTTCTGGTCCTTCACTTCCAGCGTCAGGCGGCGATCACCGACTGTCACTCTTTCAATGTCTGTCAAGGGCATAGCCCGTGGCTCCTGCCCCTTCTCGAAGTGCGCAGCCGTGTCATAGCGTTCAAAGCTATTCTCCCGTAGAACGAAGAAAGGCTTTTTCAGCAGGCCCTTGCGTTCAACGCTCAGGTACCCGGAGCAGAGCACTCTCCCCTTGAACTTGCCGCCGCTTGCTTTGATCAAGGGCCTCAGGGAGGAGAGCCAGAGCTCCAAGGAATCCTCTGGAGTCTTCAGGTTCAGGCTCTGACCTCCTCTCAAGATCAGGGAAAAGCCGTCCTCCTGAGCTTCCAATTTCTCCACCTCCTTCAGGTCCATGCGACCCCTCGGCTCGGAGCTCTCCTGGGACTCGGCCTCTGTGCTGAAGTAGTCCAAACTCTCCTTGGACAGAACGAAATACCGGGACTCGACTCCCTTCTTCTTCTGCACGCCCAAAGTCTCCTGGCGGATGACCTCCTGCTGAGCCATGCTCAGAAAGCGTATTTCTCCTCTGCACACGACTCGTCAAGACGTTTGAGCCGTAGTCACGTTCGAATGCAGGTGCAGAGGTTAGGGTGTTCTTGTTTGATGGACTGGGCTCTTCAACAGGAAGAGTGTTTCCGGAGTTTTGGGTAAATGCACCTCACTGTAGGTTGTTCATGCTCTGGCGCTCGAGGGCTCCCTCACGAAGGTCTCAAAGATGTTAGTTTCGCAAGCTTGGGGCCGAGGGCTTGGCAGGGTTTAGGGTTTGTGTGCAAGAACCCCATGACAAAGCATTCGGCCCTCACAACTACTCAGCTCCAGAAGCCTCTTGCATCTGGTAGCGGACCTGCACCCGGGAGGGAGCCTCCAAATGCGGATGCCACGCATCAGGTTTGTAGCAGTGCAGAATCTCAAGGCTAACATCCAGGAGCTTCGTACTCAAACAGGGATGCATGAATGAATTGAAATAGCCTGGGCTTCGCATGATCGTCGAGACGTAGTGCAGCGAGCAGATGAGATCATTGTTGGCAGCAGAAAGTTGAACTTGCTGCTAAGGTGTAACCGCACAGATGCCTAGTTATGCTGTAATGCTACACTCCGCATTATCAACACCAAAGGAGAAGTGCCGATGCTGGGGAAGGCTGCTCAGAAGTACATTGTGGTGGCCGCGACACTTGCGATTTTATACAGACACGGGAGGGAATCATGAGAACATAAATCGCACATGACCCTGATAGTCGATGAAAGTAAACAACGAGAGCTAGGAACAACATCATCGAAATTAACCCCCAAGTCATCATCAACATACATGGTGCAATACCGGCACAACAACTAATGCCAACAATCACTTGCACGGTATGTTGCAAAATGATATCCAGGCACTCGTGCCAGGAGGGGGAATAATTTCCGTCTAATTCATGCTTGACAATACACTACAGCGCACAGAAATGGAAAAGAGAGCAAACCCTTCCTTCTCTAATCCGCTTGTTGAGCTTATGATCCAGGCAGGTATTGACACAGATATTGGTGGTATGGACGACATTCATGGAATCACCAGCTGCATGTGTGACTGTGGTAGGTAGCACTGCCGTCCTCAACGTGTTCTGCATCATTACTCAAAGAACGAGTGGGTAAGAGTACGGTTCAGGATAGCTGCTCGCGACTGTCACAGCAATTTTCGCGAGTGGGACTTCCGGGAGTCTCCAAGGATTCTCTGCTGCAATGCCTCAACCAAGGAAATTAGAACAAGTGAGCCGCCAACACTAGCCTCTGAACCACGTCGTGTTTTCCCACGCACCGGCAAGCCTCCTTGCAGAACGCAAAGCACTTCACGTCAATGTCCTGCATTGGTCTGAGGAGCAAAAAGCTGCAAGGGTATGCAGGGCTTCGGGGGCCAAGTCAATGGCTTCAGATTGCTGTTGAGCAGGTGTCAATCGCATGCAGTCTACAATCAAGGATTTGCCAAAGGTCTGCCATAAAACATAAAGCTACTGCACATCTACATCCTCTGCACATACATAAATTTCTATCTACACATATGCGTATGTATATGTATGTTCACATACCTACATATGTATATATATATATATACATATTTATATACATGCATGTGTGTATATGCATGTATACATTGGGAAATACACACACTTGTGTATATATATATATGTATGTA